CTTATTATCTGGGTATATTCTTGGGGGAATTATAACATGATACTAGTCTATAAATGTGTCACGTACTGTCATTGTATGTTCAAAAACAAAAAGTGTCGTTCTTGATGTAGCGATACGGTAGAATTTGAAAGTTAGTTCTAAAACGAAACAGCGTCACTAACCCCCATTTCCTCAAAAATATAAAAATAGAAATTATGACGAATAAACAAAAGAAGAAATACCCCTCTATCCATTTTCAGTAATTTTCTTGTTYTAATCAGTCTCCCCGGTCCTTTTGTACGTTCTTGATCGGTCTGCCACTGCGCGTCCGCACGTATATCATAGTATCATCTTCTGTTATATGTATCCGAAATTCCGGAATGGATGCAGCACTGTCTCCMACATAGTCAACACAGTCTCCAAATTTGTCAAGTTTTCAGTGTTGAGCGCGCAAGTGTCTCAGGATAACTTCGACACGGATGGGTTTGCAATTTTACAGTGAAATGCATGAGGGGGTGCAAGTTTGAACCCACTCATACATTCTCTGTTTAAATTCGCGACTTCGCAGAGCTGGCAGGCTTACTAATTTTAGGCTGTTCTATCCAGCGGAGGTAATAAATTTTCGTTAACTGGTTTGTGTCAAATGGCGGAAATAACCTTGGTTTGGTCTATTCAGCGAGAATTATTTGACATCGATTTCCCGGTCATTCCTTGTTATTTTCCGGCATTATGCCTACCTGTCTATGGCTACCAAAACCGTCACCTCATTTATTGATCACTGGTCGCGAAGGTCCCCTGATACCTATTGGTCAACAGTAATAGACTATTTTTCCAAAAAAAAAAAAATGACTGTAGATGAGAAGTATGAAATTATGATTTTTTTTTGACAAAAATCATAAATTAAACTGCAGACAATGTTGATAAAATCATTTAATAATATTATTTTTCAAGTATACATGTATGTCCTTTATAATATTCTGTAATTCAATTATTCCTGAATTCATTCATTCAATTAATTCATACATTTTCTTATTATTTCATTCATTCATACAGAATTTAAATGAATTAGCCATCATCATAAAAAAAATCTAAAATAGCTCATATTATAGGAAAGACTTTAACAAATGTTTTCATCAAGGCCTTGATAGAAGTAAGATTCAAATATCTGAGTTATAAAATACATAAATAAAGACATTGAAATGACTGGATTAAAAAGATTTACAAATATATGTTTAGAAATTACATTTAGTTGAATAATGGTGGACTTGATCATGCCATAGTCAGTAGTGAGGAACAAATCTGTCAGTTTACTTTATTCACATACATAGAAGCTATGAGCTTGAAGTTTGCATGATCGCATGATGACTAAATCCAACCTAAAAATTTCCAAAGCAAKAGGCTAGCACCAAAATAAGGCTCGTCACATTTTATAATTAGCTAGTTCCCTGCTGCTTATAATGATCATATCAAGTCTGAACCAGAAATACTAYAGTCCACAATTTATGCATCAAAGAATATAGGCATGACTATTTRCCCTCATTATAGGCTAAGTTTGAAAACCCTTCAATGACAATTGTGCATGAATTGTGGCTTTTTTAAAATGCTACATACATCAGGCTATCTTCATATGGCATTATTACCTTTTACAAAACTCATGTTCCCTACCGATGATATTACCCAATGGYACCCCTAATTTGTCATTATGGAAAATTTTTCTGGTCAATTGACTTAATCAAATTAAATAAATAATAAAATTGTAACAGAATCATGATAAACTACTCTACATAGACCTTTTCTGAGATACGAAATCATAGTGCATTGTGGTCTAGTTTCAGTACAAACAACACCATATTTGGCCACATGAACAAAAGATGTTTGTACCGAATCTAGACCACGATGCAAAGCGTCATGCTATTTCAGAAAAGGCCTATTGCAGCCAGAACTTTAAAAAACCAGGCTGTAACAGTACAGACTATCATGCTAAAACCTGTTTCCTGATTACATACAAACCAGCTGTTAGTCTGCTGCTCCATATTTCAAAATATTTATATATAGCCACTGTAGTTAGTTGATTACTTATTATAATGCRTGGTTTGGAAGGCATCTCCAGGCCTCACTGTACAATGGTATTAGAGTGGATTTTATATGTGTGTGCATAAAGCATTGAGTCATGTCTGTTTGGTGCTGTGGTGATGTGTTCTTAAGTCAGTACTTTCAGTTACCATCTTTGCCTGGCAAGGTTCTGTGCCTGTGCTTTGATCAGTGCCTTTGCACAGCCATACAAAATTCACTCTATGATGCATGTATCTAAGAGTTTCACAATATTTATAGTACATTTAGACTATATCTAAAGAGCTGTCTCTGAGAACATAATAATAGATTGGTTCATCACTAAAATACAAAAATTAGCTCTACAACTGATATAATTATGATTCATTTAGATCAATTAGTTTTCATTTAGCACTAAATATCATKGTGATAATGATGAATATTCATGAGCTTGTTGTTTGTTGTAACAATTTGACCAACCAAATGGCCAAATCAAGTTACTTTATTGTACATTATCTCCAAGGTAATAAGGTGCAAATATGGAATGCTTAGTGAGCTTATGTTTTGCTATATTATGGTTTCTGGCTCTATCTATGATCTAGAGTGAAGAGTAGTGAGTATGTAATAGTAGCTTATCTTACAGCTTAACATGTTTCAGCTTTTGATATACAAATATATACATGTACAAATTAKAATATAATTTTTATACAGTGCATTTGCTTAAGGAAATGGTGCCTTTTGAGTGAAAACCCTTAAATCATCAATTTGTTTTGAATATGCTTGAAACGCATTAGTTAAGTGTAAAATTGTCATGGGTTCAACCTGACACTGTGCATGAAACAAATCTTGATTTGTGTTAGCAATACTTGAATGAATCTGTGTGGAAATATGTTCTTTAATTTCTAATTATACAATGACATACTTAGGCAACTAGTAAATCTGTGATATTGGGATGTCAGAAAAACACAAACAGATATTTACCATAGATTCAGGAATTTTTTGTTGAATCTGTGATGTATTAAAAATCCCTATAATATGTTAACTTCAAAATCAGCATGTTCACGTTTGTGTGTGCATCTTAGTGAATGCTCATTTTAAAGATMAAAATAAATTATAAACAAAATACAATATACACTTAGCTAAAATCCACAAGATTGTCCAGTTGATGACAGAGACACATTAGCCATATAATAATAGAACGATTCTTAGCAATGCTTACAAAGATATATTATCAAATTGACAACCGTTAAATGGAGATAGCTTCATATTAGGAGAATGATGATATTGCAATTCTGGCACTTTACTGAGTATATAACATCTCATCATTATTRTGATAATTTCTCATTTTCAATCAAATTCTCTTCAGCATCAATTCACTGTGCCATGTTTATGTCAAATTTACTATTAGTTGTGCATTATTGCAATCACAGTGATTAGACTATCACATGAAATTATGAATTCACATTTCACTTAATCTGTTCTTATTTTCATTTTTTCATTGTCTCTGGTAACCACTTTATGAATAACCTGTGTTGCATCTGGAAATTTCTATCTAATTTCTGTAGATAAATTCCRGATGTAACACAGGCTACTTTATGAATGGTGAACACGTAGCTGGACAATCAAGCTTTTGGAAAAAAAAACTGTACAAGCATGCTATACCACAGTTGCTTTTGATCTTGGTGTGATTAAAAATAAATGTTTAGCTAAAATGGGACAAAAAATAAATAAACCTGTGCTCATAATTGCAACAGTGTATGCCCAGGAAATGTGGCAGCGACCAGGTTTAAACAAGCCTGAAGCTCCGCAATGTTTCTCAACAAATTCACTGTTGAATCCAAATGGGAAAAGAACCAAACTGACTGTCATGCAAATTACTGTGAAGCAACAATTAGGACAWGTATATTAGCAAGAATTTCAGACCTAAATTAATTCAAAATATATTTTCTACATAAAATAGAGGTCAACACAAGGAAGGGAGATTGGAAGAGTTGTRCCATCTTTGTTGTTAATTAGCTTTTTTCATAGCTGGCAAATAAGCACATRAATCTTGGAGGGAGGGGTAGGCAATACTTTTTTCAAGTCTTCAGCTCACACTCTCTACAATCAAATTTTTGAACAAAGACATTTTCTGTCCTCAATGGAATTGTTGGAAACAGAAACCAATAACCTAAATGTCAATATGATATAATCATTGCAACTTGATAAGACTTACAACAGGCTCTAAATTGGTACAGGATTACTCTGTTATCAAAATGGAGACAATTAGAGATTTACCTTGATTCATTCCCATACATTGTACAGGAATGCCAAAAGAATTAAAAGGTAAAGCTCTAAAATACTGCCTTCTGGTACATGTAATTATAGTACAATTACATGTACCAGATATGTAATGTAATACATGTAATGTACAATTAATTTAGTGCTTTTTAAGCCAAAATAAGAATACTCTCCATACCTGAGGTGATTTGCAATATGCCTGCAACTCCAAAGACAGATTTTCCACAGACAATTTTATGACAGCAAGAGATATGAGCAAAAATGACTGCACAAACTGATGCAAGAAAACCAACTCCATAAAAGACAATTCCAAATTGCCAGAACAATGACGGGATTTCTTGAAAGCTTTTGTAAAATGCACACGTTTTAAAGTCTGTCCATTCATTCATATCAAAGACTGACTGAACATCTTTCTTAGAGCAAAATCTAAGGATCCCAAAAGCAGCAAAAGAACTGTTATCAGATGACAAAGGATCAGGATCTGGCACATTCTCAAACCAGAAAGGAGAAATTACGGAGATTGACCACAGACCAGTAAACACTACAGAAAGGACAGTCCACAGAACTGATATCGCAGACATCTGTAGAAAGATATATATCCTTTGTCAATAACCTGTCTTTTCATGTACACTCTCATGTACAAATGGATTAAATGGCTAATCCATGAAATCTGAGTGTTAATACAGTTTATTGTAAATGCCCTTTAAGGTCACACAAAGACTTCTGATGATGCCAGATCAACRCAGTATTTTTGGACTATAATTTCAGTAATTAAAAGCAAGTCGTAAAGTTAATAGACATAAATAAAACAGCGTTCTGTTCGTCAGTTTTGTTGTTTTATCAATTACTATGAATTGAAACGGCAAATAACATCACTACAATGTAGATAATTGTTGCATGGGGCATAAAACTGACTTCAAGAACATTATTTTAACTGTTAGCACAGATAACGCATTCTTTGAAGTCCAAAAGAACAGAGATATCTTGATAAGATAAGCTAAGAAAAATAATTTATTCATAAACAAAAAACAAACACATACGAGTATGAGTTTTGCGTTTTTAGACTTCAATATGTAATAATTTCCACTTTCAATACAATAAACGAAATTGAGAGCGAAAACCACAACGTCATCTTTYAGTTTTGGCAGCTAAAAWATCAATTATGGTCTAAAATTGACTGACAGATTTTATTACAGAGGGTATGCCGATATTATCACAGCGTAATTGAAACGTGTTTCAAAAACAAATTTATGGGGCGCTAAAAAAAATCCCTTGAATAAGGTAATAACCTTTGCTTGTAACATTTAGCACTTAGTGAATCTGACAAAAAAAAGAAAAAAAATTGTTAGGGTAAAAGTGGCTCTAATAATTTGAACAGTATTGCCCCGATTGTTCTATTGAAATTTATCGGCAATGAAAACATACTTCAACAGTACGTAAGRGAATTCGTAAAATTAAAGTACTTCGCATTTTTATTGGTAACAAGTTCTTCCACTGTAAGGCTTCAGTGAAGCTAGC